CGTGTTTTAGAATATTTATGAACCCTCACTGTAAAATTGAAAACAATATTGTCAACAAAGTCCCCACTAAAATATGTTATTTAGAGTCGTGTCCAATTTTTTTCTGTAGAATTCAAAGGTTGAGAGCTCCATTATTTAGACGTGTGTTTTAAAAAGTATGATGAAAACCTGTGCTAAAACTTTTAATGTTGTAATATGACGAAGCAATGAGAGAGCAAGTAATATACCTCGGCTTTCCATGTTCCAATACCAATTGACGTCTCGACCATATTCCGACGAATCTTTCAACAGTATCACCCTTCAACCACATTTTTCTAGGAGGTTCTTCCTAAGTTTTTTCTTAAATAAAAAAGTAAATTAAAATAAATAGTTGAAAGTATTGATGAAAAGTAATAGAATACACACGAACACAGTATGGCTGCATGCAAAAAGTAATTATAATCTAATTCATTAAAAGTAAAAAATTTGGGTGATGGTTACAATTTTAAATCACTACATGATATTACAAACCCTAAATAAAAAAAATATATCTATTTATTTATTTATTTATTTATTGCCAACGGATTTCACCAATTAACAATAAGAATTACAATATAGTGAGATACTCATCATGACTAAATACTAAAACTAAGTAACAATGCAAAACTGATGGACAATACAATAGGGATGCATGCAAGCTCTAAGACAGTGAAAAAAAACTACTTATACCTAGGAGTAACAAGACATAAATAATACAAGACATACGGTAATTGAATAAATAGTAAAAGTTTAAGTCTAAGAAACATGTACATAACAGAGACAAGTGAGACTAACCTAGGAAATATAACAATAAATATAATGATATAAATAACATGATAAATAATACTTTGGTAACAAGACAAAACAAAAAGAAAACAGTACATGTGATGGACGTATGATAGAGCTAGAAACTATGATAATAAATAATACAGTGAAAAGTAATTGAAAGCTAGTTCACTAGTGTTCTAAAAGCTTATAGCTTTTATCCATTTGGAGGGTTTGTAGCTTGGAATTCCTACTTCAGGTTACAAAAGCTCATGTGTAAATATTTTGTATTCCCTCACCAAGACGCTATCGTTATGATGCCGAGATCTACCAACGCTACTATTGGCAGTTCAGAGAATATTACTTTTCTTTTCCCTTCCCATATAAATGCTCAAAAGGTTTATGGAACAGAAGATTTAACTACAGTCTTATTTTTATAAGAGGAATGAAATTGGAATTCATTATAAGAATATACATCTTAACTTTTGATCATGAATTGTATTAGTAATGAGTAAGTACTGTGATAATTACTATTGGTTTTATGCAGCTAAGGATATTACATAATGCTCACAAAAAACTTTCGATATATTACATATATAGTATATTTGTTAGTATATTTTCTTGTAGTTTTTGTTTGTTTTATGAAAATGCGTGAATTATAACCACCCAAAGACTTATCTTTGTCAACAAAACAAAAAGGTTTAACCTATTCCCAGATAACTTATTTTAAAATTTACGTTTACGAAAATCTTATTGACTTTCTTCATGTGGAGTTCTGAAGTTATGGTATTTGAAATCAAAGAATGCATATTGATCGCATATTTAAATATTTTGAAAGAACCTCTGGTACATGGCTACATTGGTACTCTGATATTAATATAATCTTGTTAATCAGGGTTAACTGTATTATAATCTAATATTTTATAAACTTGATCGAAAACAAAAATGTAATGGATAGTTTAGAACTAAAACAATGAAAATCATGCATTATTTTTGCAAAAACTTGGAGAAATACTATTTAGTGCATTTTGTAATTATTTGGAAACTGTTATTTAGTACAATGGGTTGTTTCGTCAGTTCTTTTTCAAAATTTGACTAGATACACTTTTCAAGCAAAACCTACGCTCTCTTATCAGTTATAAAGGGATTTTTGAAAATGCAATAATGACAAGAAGGATGTCGTAGCTCATATGAGACAAACAAGTTATCACAATAGAGAAGTCTTGTCCAATATTGTCTCTGAGTAAACCGAGTCTCTCATCTCGCCCTGAAACATACACGTTGCACTTATTACGTCAACTTCATATTTGGCTTTATGAGAAATGGTTATATCACACAGTGAACATGGTCAACCTCTAAGTACAGCTCTTAACATTCACGATGTAAAGGACGACTTTATGACTAATGATGAAGTATCCAAACAAAAAAGAGTATTTTAGTTTTTTTTAAGTTGTTCTATAGTTGTAGTTGTCTATAGATGTACTTCCATAAAGTATAGATCACTTTGATGTTACTATGTTCAAGTTAAAGCAAGTTTAAGAATAACATAAAAATGTGTTAAGGTGGGGGGGGTTATGATAGATAATGCAATGCAATATTTTTTAGCCTGTTATTCGAAAATTTCCACTGTGCTGGCAGTCACAAATGCTAATAGCATAATGTTTACGTTTAAGCTAAAATAAAAATAACTTGAATAAATATAATGAGTTTTTGTGTTGACTACCTTGGATTTGAAACCCAGTTGAGTATTAAATAGGTTTTTTTGCCAAAGTCAAAAAGTAAATTAAAATAAATAGTTGAAGGTACTAATGAAAAGTAATAGAATACACACTAACACAAAAGAAATTAAAATCTAATTCATAAAAAGTAAAAGATTGAGTAATATTTAAAATTTTAATCACCACACGAGATTTAGCATTACAAACCCTGATTAAAAAAATATGTGCATTGAAAGCTAGTTCATTAGTGTTCTAAAAGCTTATTTGGCTAAAGTATATTAAAAAGCTTTGCAAGAGTAAATAAAGATCTGGCTTTCTAACAGACTAAGACCCTTTAATGTGCTTAAGGTAAGAGCTTTTGTGTTTGGACTTAGTAAGAGGAATGACCGTCCATTACAGAGAATTGGCTCATGTTATAATGAAAAGGCAAATGATTTCGATAATTATTCTACTTTTTTTACAATTTTGTCTAACCATTAAGAGATTATTTTAAATTGGAATGTGATGAATCATTGTAACCCATTCTTGACCTAGGATAGTAAAAACACCACGCAATTTAATACTTGTTTTACGCCTATTTGTAAATATTTCCACCGATTTGTATTCAACATGAACTTTAGGTCAAATTGGAGTCAAAATTGAAAAAAACGTACACAGTAAGTTTCTACTGAAAAGATTAAAGAGATGAAAAAGGAAAAGGGTAGTTTTGCAAGTACAGTTTAAAGTTATACTACTTAATATCTGTTGCTTGATCTTTCATAAACTTGAATGCGGTTCATACGTGCAGGTGTTAAAAATTGTTTGTACATTCTACTGTAATTTTAACATAATCTATTATTTATATCAGTTAACCCACACCTAAGTGTGATTCAGAGACAACTCAACAAATTCAAATGGATAGTTTAGAACTAAAACAATGAAAATCATGCATTATTTGTGCAAAAACTTGGAGAAATACTATTTAGTGCATTTATTTAATTGTTTGGAAACTGTTAGATACTATATTTAATACAATGATTTGTGTCGTCAGTTCTATTTCTAAATTTGACTAAATACGCTTTTCAAGCAAAACCTACGCTCTCTTATCAGTTATAAAGGGATTTTGTTGGATTATTGTTTTTTTTTATTTTTTTAACTTATTGTTTTGTAATGATGATTACATTTTTTTAGCTGATAATAGCTTGATATTTTTTTATCTTATTATATAGTGAAATCTTGCAGTATATAAATGTCAGAGCGTCAACACTGTTGTTTGGATGATTCTCCACGATCCGTTGACGCGTTGAATGTGTGGAACATGAAAACATCGGAATTATTACTTCGCTTTCCTACCACTGAATTTTGAACTTGGTAAAACAAATGCAAATCAAGAAGTGAATTTTACTTGAACGATTTTCTATTTAAATTGGATTTTTTTTTTTAATGTTTACTTAAATAATACAATTATATTTACAAAATTATATTTAATACGTTACTGTATTTCATAACTATTTCAGTCAGGTTTATGTTAAAACTATTTTAATACCTATAAACATATTTCTTAATTTAAACATATAATATTTATTTGAACATTACTCTGATATTATTAGCATCTGGATATCGAATTTGCTATAACATCACTTTGATCCATTGATCTATTCTATTTGATTCAGCCACTAAATGACATTGCAATAGCTAATATAAGTGTTAATTTGTTGATATTGCACTGCTTGTACACATAACATGAAAACATAATCCATTACCTTAAATAATTACCCGAATTTAAGACTAAAAGTTATATTCAGCATGCCTTTTTGTGCTACCAAATTCAATGGCTGTGAATCATGTTATGTGTTTTGGTTTATGAATATCAAAACTAGTTATTCCTAGTGTATTATATTTAATGTATCATATTGACTAGAATCTGATACTAGACATAAATTAAATATTTTACAAATTAAAATAAGTTATATGTATCACGTTTATGTTTGACTATGTTATTATATATTTCCTCTGCTAGAGAGCTAGTTTTTAATTAGAAGTTTTAAATATGAAAAGACATGCAATCGTCTCAGGAAAAACAAAATTTGTATTTATAAGTAATAAGGTTTCTATTTAATTCCTTGGACATTTTTATGGACAATATTATGTTTTATTATTGAAATATTTTATGCTAGAGTAAGCTAATTGAAGTATGCAAATTGTCATAAGGTAACCGACATTTAAATACGTTTTTATTGTCAAGAAAGAAACTTTAAAATATCCTTGAACCTTTTTTATCAACACAAATAACTCAGGAGTACCCTCTTTCACCTTGATCAAAGGTTATTTGAAAAAATGCAAAGAACGAGGTTAAATTTTTTCTGACGTGAGGTTAGATTTCCCAGATTATTTCCCCCTCCAATAAAGGTGACTGGCGAATGACAGGTGCAACAATGGGGTGTTGAGGGGAGTTTCGGGGGAGGGAAGTGAGGGAACGACAAAGGAGAAATCGGCAAATTCCCAGTCTGCTGTCGGCAGCCGTGCAGGTGGTATCGTTATATCTCCGTTTTGTACGGATACCCATTGTTAACAGAAGGTAAGGCCTGTTTGATTGAAAGAGTATTACAGTTATAATTTTATTGCGTAAATTAAAACATTTAGTCTGAAATCCTAGGTTCACTTCTTTTTCTACTTTATGGCATTTTTCACATAACTTAAAAAATTATGTCCATATATACGAAGTGGTTTTAAAGTAATATCACAATCTTGGTATAGTAACGCTTTAATAATTTGGTTTCATCAATTTGAGAATAAATATTCAAACAATTACTTAAATAAATTCTCCTCTACTTTATGTTTCTTGGAATTAAATTGGTCACATGTTTTAATGATAATACTAGGATATTTAAAATTAGCAAAACATGCTAAATAAATCATTCATTTAAATCATTCATTTACATGAAATCCAATAAATTATTACGAGTTAAAATTGCCCTCAAGAGAATTAAATAATTATTGGCATTTTTATATATGTAGGGCCTATAGCTTACTTTTGTTCTTCACCACTAAGACCACTCATTCCAACGGGATTTAATAACCGTTAGTATTTCATGTGGCACTTTTAATCTATATACATAAAAAATGCCTATACATCATAAAGTCTAGGTACTGTATATGCTAAATATATATACCTGGTGTTTTTAACCAAACAATAGTGAGCTGTATGAATTTTTAGCAGGTATTTGAAATTAATTGAGAAAATAAAAGGGTTTCATATACTTTAACTGTAAAATATATTGTGACCGCCTTTATAAAGATATATGGTCCAAACTTAGGGCTGAAAGAACATTTACTATAAAGGCAGAAACGAAAAATTTAGTATGAAATACTCAAAATATACGAACACAAAATTTAATATTATGATGAACTTCAAAGGAAGATTGTGACAGGCAGCGACAATGAAGTTTCGTATCAAAATTCCCGTGAAAATTAAGATGGGTCATTAATTATTATATTACGGCATTAAAATAATTTTGGTTTTAATAAGGTAAAAAATTCATTCATGCATAGGGTATAAAATTAATTAAATTCATATTCAAATTATTAAGTAGAAAAAGAATATTATCAGATTAGTTATAAGTCCGGTAGAACTATAACGGTGTTAATACGACTTCTCAATTTGTACAAAGAAAATACGGGACGTTTTAAAATTAAAGATCACTTGTTAAATATTTATTAATTGCAGCCTGTTCATCGGTTTGGTACCATTTACCTGTTATTTGAGGGTGCAAAAAATTAAATTTCATTTCCATATCTGCTGGTTACCTATTATTATTTTCAAACGTTTATTTCCATTTCAGATGTCTGAGATCGTTCGGTTCTAGTTGTCTTGTATACAAGATTAGATTCCAAAAAAATCCACGTTATTCATAAATTTGTTTGTGCCGTGGTGGTTAATTTCAAAGAGTCAAATCTATTCCAATAACAATACTATAATGTAAACAAATGATAACAGGCAATGAGCTTATACGTAAATGAAACTTCACTATTTGCTCCAGCCATTTTCATATTAATATTGTTGCCGCAATAATAGGTCTTAAATTATAAGCATATACAATTTGTTTTTTTCCAATTTGTAAAACCAAGTTAACAGAAAGATTAGCAATACCTTTAAAACGGTTAAACATAGAGTTGCATTGACATTTCTTCATTATCTGAACGAAAAACAATTACGGCGCTAATGTTACACACGACTCGTGGACTGGTAATTAATTGTTCATAATTTACAAACGTTAATTAAGCCATCGGTTTACATATTTGTTTGTGTAACTAACCAACGAGTTAAGTAAAATAAACATTACATGTGTTATCAGCCAAGTGTGTATAATAAGCATAAAATAAGGTACTTACCTCTCAATGTATCTTTTTGTGTTTAATAAGGTTTAAATAAACAAAGTAGTATAAAAAAATTGATAAATATTTTTTATAGAGGATAAGGACAGTTTTAGATAAGGAAGTCTATCCTATTCAGACATTGGTGAAACCGATACTAATCTTGTATTCAGTTCAATGCTATTGGATCACATTAGCATTATGTAAAAATAGTCGTGGTGTTATGTTTATTATTTTTCCTCAAAGACCATTTTTTTTTTTTTAGAAATGCACAAGTAATTATATTGAAAGCCGAGTCTCTGATTGGTTCTGATGACAAGCAGTGCTACTGGTCGCAATAAGTAAAGTCACCATTGGGTGTACGCTATCACTATTATTATTATTATTATTATTATTGTTATTACATAATATGGAATGGTGAAACTGGGTGACAGAGGCATTGACGGCCCCGGGTTTTAACACGGGGCTACCAGCCCGGCCCATACTTAAAACTATTTCCATAATACTATCATGATACACACACATATATAAAAAACATACTAGCTCATACTGTATAGTCAAATATAATGCATAAAATAACCCCTATGTAATTATAAATATTAGAATCACACAATGTAAAAATGCTACACAATGTAAAAATTGTAAAGAGCAATAAATAAATAAATAAATAAATAATTAAAAAAAAACATAAAAGAGAAAAAAATGTTTTTGTTCAAAATATAGTTGTTTATTATATATTATTTAATTTGAAAACAAAACAAATGGATTTATACTATGTACCTGTAAAAGATATTATAATAAGGTAATAGATATGAGTTTTCCTCTCTAATAGCTTGCAGCTAGAGATATACAAGGCGCTGCAGTGTACAACAAATTTTCGCATGCGAGATATAAACAAATTGAAATTATTATTATTATTATTATTATTATTATTATTATTTTTATTATAAATTGAGAAGGAGACGCCACTTAGGTATGTATTTTAACCCAAATATGAGTAAAGGATGAGTGTAGAATGGAGTGTTATGCCTTGTGGAGCTTTGTTACCTATTGACTAAGACCAGCTGTTTCATTAACCAGAACCATTTATAAGCCCAATAAATGAAACAGCTTAGTCCAGTTTCGAACCAACATAGAGCTGCACACTTTTCTCAGGATCGAACCGGTGACCTTTTGATTACTAGGCTTGCACTATAACCAGATTCATGCAAAGGTTTAAAATACTGATAAGGAAGTTATGAACGTGTGTTATGTTGGATAACCAATATGTCGAAACGTAACATTTACTTCAACAAACATTGCTTTGTATTTTTTCACTAATATACTTTTGATCTGATTATGAATTCTGTAAAACTATCATAAATAAAAAAAAATTATATTTTCAGGTCCATGATCGGAAGAATAATGAAATCGGTTTAAGAAAGAAATTAAAGCTGTCTGGAAAAGGGATTCCTTAAACAAAATCCTACTCAAGCAAGCCCAACTTTGCAGCGTTCTTTGTCTTCGTGCTTTATAAATCGGAGGTATATTTCTAAAGATGCATTTCATATCTTCCAGTTCGACTTTAAAATCCTAACGAGAGTTTCAGGATTATCTCTACAAATGTTTCAGTTTGCAATGCATTGCGTTTGTTTTATACACAGTTGTCGAACTAAACATCATCGTCTTATTTAATACTGTCAAATACAATTATTTATCACAAAAATAAGAATAAGGATTTAATGTTTATTGAGGAGGGTATAATAAGAAATGTGCATTTTTGTTCGCTAATAATGCTTTTATTGCTGATATATTTTATTTTCAATCTTGGTCAAGAAATTTTTACCAGCCACCAGCAATATATGCTTAATGATGATGTAAAATCAGCGTTTACCAAACAATAAAACTCCTTTTACTATCTATTTTGCAATTTATTATTATTATTGCCCTTGTTTTAAACGGACTACTCAGTTTATTCATTTAGATAAATATTTTTGGACATCACTCACCTTTTTGAAATAAGGAGAACGCAGTTCTTGTCACCACAGTTCGTATCACACACGAACACACATTTAAAATAAAAATACAATAATGTGTGTCCGTGAACAGGATGACTCTTGTCATTTTGGCCAGATTTTGATTTAATTTGTCTTGAAGGTGTAGGACGGGATTAACTCGATGAGTTCACGAACCAGAAAGGTCAGTTCATAGAAACGGGGTTCCATGATTTTATTGGGTTTCATTAACTTATTTTACCTGTGTTATGGGTGTTTAAAAATTTTCAAAATGTTTTTTTGATTGTTTCAATGGCAACAAACATGGAAATTCACAAACATTATGTCCATCGTCTATTGGGATATTTTATATCGAAGCGATGTTGTACAATGTTACTGAGAAAATTAACGAAACCAGACCTGTTATTTACCTGATATTCCTATGTTATTTTTATAGAGAAAAAGAAAACGGGTTTAATGTAGTTTGCTTGTTTATTTCAAAATGTGTAGATCAAATTTAACAAATCATTTATTTAATCCTATTCTATAAATCTTTGGTAAACCCCCTTTTTACTTTTAACGTAGCAGCAAACCTAAGTAATATTTAAATAAAATGTTATTTTAATATTGAATTAATATGGCTTGTTTATGGAAATATTTTAGCAAATATCCAAACAGAAAAAAAGTCTGTAGGTTTGCTGCGGAAGGGTTAATATTATTGTTATTCCAGCATTGGTAGTTTTAAATGCTCTTGTAAGGAAAGATATAACCACTGGAAAATTGAAATATAGGGCCAGAAAAAGATATTATTTGAAATCGAACCAGGGACCTTTAGATCAGAGAGAGCACTACAGGGTGGCTGAAAAGTAACTTGCACCCCCCTTAACTTTTTAACCATTTGAGATATTTGAAATCTGTTTGCGGCAACCTTCTTAGATATGAGAGGCTACAATAGATATGGTCAATTTTGAAAATGATGCCCTTAGGGGTAGTGGGGGTAGGGGGTAGCTCAAAAATTTCAAATGACAAGTATAGTCGATTTTGGTATCATTTTACAGGTCTCGAGGAAACATAAAAATGAACATAAATAAAACCCAAATCGGCCCACTAATAACCAAATGGCGCTCTAAAACGTTTTAAATCCAAATAACCATGGTGGCTGAAAATCAACTTGCACCCCCTTTAAATTTTTAACTATTTGAGATATTTGAAATCGGTTTGCTGCAACTTG